CTTTGTAGACATGGAAACACCCAGTTAGACCTGTGGCCTGTCTGTGCAATGGAATCCTCAATTGTGTTTCCTTACTGGATGACACACATCTGTCTCTTTCAAATGGTGCTTGACACAACCAGCTATATACATAAAATACACTCTTTTAATTAAATAATGTGAAAAATTGGTTCTCATCTAGAAGAATGTATTATAACATTTGTCAAAGAGCATGGGGCAATCTCAAAAAGGCTTAAAGTTCAAGTTGAATGAAGTATGTTTCCATCTGCAACCTTCCCCAGAGTGGATTTTCATCTTCCCACCCTGCACAATCAGATATGAGGTTTCCCAAGACTGAAGTTATTTCCTGCTTCACAAAGCATTTCATTTCTAAAAAGACCTTCATAGGTTAGTATGGTCTCTCTTATATCTAGGTACGTTCAAACTTGTCTGTAATCTACATTTTAACTTTATACCAAGATCCTGAACATTTCTAAGAACGTAAAACCTGTAATAATGATGGTAAGAGCTCAAGTCTGGGCAGGAGTACCACTGGGCTCTCACACACAGTTGTACAGCACTGGGGTTTCTTTCAAGGCAACTATGAAGGCGCAAGAATGAGCACTAAGTGTTTCTCAGCATTCAACAGGAGCTTCTTAGCCTGGCGTTACCCAAGAGACTCTGTTTCTAGAATTCTAGAACAAAGACAGCAGGATATGGGGTAGGTAAATATTTCATTTTCACTGAATTATAAGAGAAATTTTGGTTTCATTTCCATATGAATGTGGATGGCACAAAACAACAGCCTCACCAGTTCCTGTAATCTGTCACCAAAAACCATCACTGATGCGTTCCTGCAGCTTTACGTAGCCACACATCTCAAAACAGCATGATTTTCCACATGTCTTTGAAGGGTTGACAGCCCCAGATTTAGCTCAAGATCTTACTTTGTATTGAATTAATGAAGAGAGATGTATTAGTGTATATTTGTATATTCTAATGGTTGTACTTCAGCATATTTTTAGATTGGTCGTCTTAAATTATTCTCCCGTGACAGGTTCGTAGGCTTTCTTGGGTTTCCATAAGAGTTCCTGGACAAATGAACTGTAAGAACCTGTATCTTGGATTCTGCTGAGAAAGGTGTGCTGCCCTTGCTTGGTGCATAGTACACACACTGCTCATGTGTCACAGCCTTACCTCTCAAGGGTGAGCACAGATTCAGTCTTTTGTAGGAGTGCACTATTACCAACTGTTAAGACAGCTATTATGAAGATGCTCCCCCAAAGCCTAAGGGTTAAAGTCTTGGTTCCCCTTCCTTTGGTACTCCAGAGGTTAAGACTTTCAAGAGGTAGGCACCAGTGGAAAAAAGGTAAGGTTATTAATGGAGTACTTTTCAAAGGGATCTTAATATCACAACCACCCCTAGCTTGGTTTTCTTTTAGTTAGTTTGTTTTGCTTCCTGGCTACCCTGAGGGGAGCAGTTCTCTGCCACAGACTTCTACCATAATGTGCTGTGCTACACAGGCCCAGGAGCAGCCACATACTTGACGCTTGAGAAACTGTGAACCAGATAAGCTTCCTCCCTATAAGTTGATGTCTTTCAAGTATTTCTCACAGTATAGGATAGCTGAGCAGCAGACCAACTGATGCTCACTCTAAGTCTGCCCTGCTTGGCAGAGCCCCCAGGGTGAAGCTTCTGTCAATAGCGATCATAATGATAACTATGGCTTATGGAGTGCCAGGTTCTCTGCATATGTTTCATCACTGAGATTCTTCCCCCCATCCCCTGAGCTGGGTGCTAACTGCTACTTGGAATAGCAGAGACCAGCTTAGAAGGTGGTAGAGCTAGGTTTCCAAACTCGCTGCTTCTTCCCATTCAGTAACATCAACGATTGCATTTTGTCAGACTAAGAAATAATAAGGTCACATATGTTCATGGATCCCCATCGTCGCTAGCAGATATAAACATGAACGTCTTGCTGTTGTTCTATGTGGCATTTCAAATTCGAATCTCCATGTGGCTTCGTGTGTACTTATCTGATGGTTTATTGATGCTGTTCAAAATGAAACAAGATTAAGAGGGAAAGCCAAGGCATGATGTTGAAAGCAAAAGGAATGTTCTAGTCGGGTTTTTTTTCACAATACTGCCAGTTCTCACCAATGAGATGGCATAGACACACTTGAGACCCTGTTTTAGGCAGAGTTTTTGTGCTGTTATCCTGAGATGACAGGAAGGTAGCTGAGACTATTCTTGCTCCAAAGCGTCCACTGTTGTGTGTGAGGGAGACACTGTTGTCAAAATTATTTCCCCAAATAAAAGGAAAAATAATAATTACAACTCATTTTATCTATCTGTTATATGTTTTTCCAAATGATTTGCATGTTTTTAATTTTTAATTTTTTTTGTTTTTGTTTTCTCTGTGTTGTTTTGGTGCCTGTGCTGGATCTCGCCCTGTAGACCAGGCTGGCCTCCAACTCACAGAGATCCACCTGGCTCTGCCTCCCAAGTGCTGGGATTAAAGGTGTGCACTAGCACCGCCTGGCTAATTTCTAAATTTTTAACATTGTCATTCATTTTATTTATTTTTTGTTTGGCCACTGTACAAGTAGGTGACCAAGGCAGAGAGAGTTTAAGTAAATTGCCCAAAGATACACAGCAGTGGTAGCGTAGCTGAGACTCCAGTTATGGAAGTGCACCAAGCCGCGGTGACAATTAGCTAAATGAGTCTTCTTACTGTTCTCCTCTGAGGCCATGGCTGCCATGATAAAAGACCGATGGAAACCACAGGCCACTTTCCCTGATGGTGGAGGAGATGTATTTGGAGGCACATTGAATTGCACAAACATGTCTCTATTACCGTGGCATTAGCTGTTCTGAGTGATGCATCATTCTGCATTTAAGGCACTCTTTTTAAACACTTATCAGCTGAGCCATGGAAGCAAAGAGCCAGTGAGGAGAAGGATCAGGGGCCATTTGGCTTTTATATAAATATTAAAATTTCCATGAATATTTTCTACTGAAAAAGTGGCCATAGTGGTCAAAGCAATTTTCTTCTTAAATAATTAAAGTATCGTAACCCAGGAGCAGAAGTCCCCAGTGAGTTTGGGAAGTATTTCAATGTGTCTGTTGTCGAACCCATGTCTGTGTTCCTGTAGAGCCATGTGTTGCCTGATTCTGATAATATGTTACTATGTAATTTCAGCACTCTGTGAACATCATGGAGTTGCTTACACCAACAGAGAGCTATGCTGTCACCATGGAAATTAAGCTAATGGGACCTGGTTTGTATATGTTGCCATTGTTAACCAAAACATTCTTGTGTCTGGGACTGTGTATTAGTTTATTTTTTTAGTTTCCTTAAACTCAAGAGGTACATTTGGGATAAAATGAAGATATTACATGATTTAATGATTGACCAAATTTTGCCTATTCAGGTGAATTTTTCCTACATATTTTCCATGATATAGGTGAACTTCATTGATATTATACTGCATTCAATGGACAGGAGGGTGTATGTATTTAAAATAATGCTTTTTTATTATTGATTTTTCCATTCAGTAATTATTTTTCTTGGGAACTTGTCTTAGTCTGTGCTCTTGTAATAAAAATATAATAGATGATGTACTAGTTAGTTTTTTTAGAGTAGCAGAACTTATAGAATGAATATATGTATATATATCAGATTTATTAGACTGACTTACAGGCTATGGTCCAGCTAATCCAACAATGGCTGATTATGAATGGAAAGTCTAAGAATATTGTAGTTGCTCAGTCCATGAGGCTGGATGTCTCAGCCAGTCTTCATCAGATACCTGAATCCTGAAGAAGTATGCTCTAATGCAGTGAAGGAATGGACTTGCTAATAAGGCTAGAGCAATAAGGCAAAGACCAAAAGCATCCTTCTTCCATGTCCTTATGTAGGCTTTCAGCAGAGGTATGTCTTCCAGCCTCAAGATCTGGATTAGAAGTATATCTTCCTACTTCAGATTAAGCAAAAACTGTTCATAGGCATGCTCTCTATTATTAGTTTGAGTTAAGTCTAGATGTAGTCAAGTTGACAACCAAGAATAACTATCACAAATGAGTAATTTATAAATAAGAAAAATTCTTATGTCCCAGTCTTAGGGGATGAGAAATTCAAGATAAAGATGGAGCAAACTTTATCTGGTAAGGATCCTTTCCTGATTTAACAGATGGAATCATCTGCGTGTTGGTAAGGCAGAAGAGGCCAACAGGCTACTTCAAGCCTCTTTCTTCCTCTTAAAATTTTTATTTTTAGTGTATGGGTGTTTTACCTACATGGATATCTGTTTACCACTTTTATTCCTGGTACCTAGTGAGGCCAAAAGAAAGCACCAATATCTCCCGGAACTGGAGTTACAGATGGTTGTGAACCTCCCATGTGGGTGAGGGGATCCAAACTCAGATCCTCTGGAAGAGTTTCTGGTGCTTTGAATTTGCTGAGCTTTCTCTCTAGTCTTCTCTTTCTTTTTCTTAAATATTTATTTGTGGTGTGTGTGTGTTTGTGTGTGTGTGTGTGTGTGTGTGTGTGTGTGTGTGTGTGTGTGTGTGTGTATGTGTGTGTGTATGTGTAGATGCCATGGTGTGCCCACGGAGATCAGAGGACAACTTGTTCTTTCATCCTGAAATATGGGTTCTGGGATGGTCATTTTGGCAGCTTTACCCCATACACCATTTTGTGTACCCCAAAGCCTCCTCTTTCTTGAGTGTATAATTCATGTTCATGAAAGGCCTCACCCTCCTGATCTAATTATTCCCCCAAAGGCCTGACCATTTAGTACTACTGAATCTTGGATTTCATATGCTTCTTAGCAGATGAATTTCTGGAAGGGGATACAAATATTCATAACAAAATTCATTGCTTAGACAGACAGAATTTATTTTCTTATGTCTTACAATTTTTGAACAATTTTATTTTTATTTAAAAACTATAAATTAAAATATTTAAATGATTTTCAAAACGTAAGAATACCTGTTTAAAGTGCCTTTCATCTTTTCATTGGATTTCTGAGATCATCTGAGACTTTTAGTCAATGTATAGATGTTCTTATTTGAAAGAAGATATCCAATGGAATGTGCTACTGATGATAGACGGATACTTTTATCATTTGGCTAACAACTCAGATGAGCCATTGCAGATTTGCATCTATGTTGTATTCTTTGACTAAGAACCACTACAATATTCAAATATTAGAACAGAACAAGGCTTGCAAGTGGCTAAACAAAAACCCAGTCCCGAGCACAGCAGAATGGGGGAGGGGGACTCTCACGGTGCAGGAACACAGTTTGTCTGTAGTGGTGGAGGCAGGCTGAGACCGGATAAGGATGGGCCACAAAGTGGGAGATCCACCGTACAGATGGAACAATGACCAGACACACACAGAAAGTCAGAACTTAGAGCGGGAGATCCACCGTACAGATGGAAGATCCACCGTACAGATGGAACAATGACCAGACACACAGAAAGTCAGAACTTGGAGTTGTGAAGGATGGGTCAGTGGAAGCAAGACATGGAAATGACTGTCTACTAGAGCCTAAAAACATTTTTCGAGACAGAATTCTGAAATAATGAAGCTGTTTCTAAACAAGGAATTGTGTTATGGCAGATATGTAAGATCTTGGTATTAAAAGCTATCAACATGCCTGCGTTACTTTACTTTAAATCCTCCTTTTCAAGATCCACTACATTTTTTTTTGCCAGAAATAAACACTCCAATTTTTGCTGATTCTATCAAATTGGAGAAATGTTGTGTTGTGATATGATGGGGTCCGCAATGGGAGGACTTCAGAAGCTGAAGAGGGGGCCTTTAGGTGGGCTTTATGACTTTCATCATTAAAAGGGGCCGGTTACAGCCATCTTTCTTTTTAAGTTCTAGTTTTTCCGATTGTATGCCATTCCTCCAACTACTCTTGATAGTTTACTTCATGATAACTGCCACTGTGTATCCATCAGCCTTGCCTTACCTGTCCCAAGAGAGGCTTTCTGTCTTTAACCCTTTGTGGGTATTGGTTCCCCTTGCCGGGGCTTCACTTTTATCTCATTGGACTTTAACTAGCCACACACACACACATCCCAGCTAATCTTTCCAAATTAGCATAGCGGCCGCTCAGGAGGTTCTCATTAGCTGAGCAGCTGAGATTTATCAGACCTCATTTGCCTAATATGGAGCCTAACTTTGGGCACCTGGCCCTTGCAGTAGGGGGTAAGGGAGAATAGGAACAGGTCTTTTGTCACTGTTATGCAGTCTCACTAATTTGCTCCGCCTAATAAAATTACAAATGGATACAGCTTTATTCATATTGCCTTTATAGGTTATAATAACCTTGCTACCCCATAACCTCCTGCTAGCTGAATTAATCAGATCATATTAATATTTCTTCCCACTTTCTTTTAACTGGTTCTTCTCTTAATTAAAGGGGCCAAAGACGTAAACAGGGTAGGTGACTAGAAGCATGGCGTCGAGTTATAAACAAGGCTCATTAAAAAGATGGATGTGCAGGCCGACTGCAAAAATTGCTTACTTCGCAAGTGTACATTTTGTAATTTCCTGACGACTAAAAGAACTAATGCCAGATCACACCCCCTCCCTTTTTCCCATGTATAAAAGATGATAATTTTTGAATGCTAGGGTGGGGATGGCAAAACCAAGCAACCTATTTATCAACTCACATAAGGGCTTTCATATTACAAGACTGCTTCCTGTTCCACGAGCCTCCAAAGCAATGTCTATTTGAAAGTGGACAAAAAAAGAAACAAACAAACTGGGAAATGATTTCAATGCAAAAGAAAACCTCAAAGATGAGAAATATTTAATAGAAAGCATCCAACATATTAAACAACAGTCCAGTTTGAAAGCAAAACTGAGGGTATACTTAAAATGTTAAGTATTCTGAGCATACACATTCCAGGTGCCTAGGGTGAACACACATGGTCTCTTGCACAGAGTTCAATAGAGATCTGCGTCTCTGCATGCGGACAAGAACTGTCAGGGTGGACAATCCCCAGTCTGAAGCTTCCATGCCCTTAAAACTACAGCAACGTAGCAGATCTGAAAACAACTTGATTTAGAAGTTTAAATTCAGATGTGTCTTGCATTGTTCAGGACACTACATCCAACTGTACACTGGGCTGGTAATAGAGTACCTTTATACAATGTTGGTGCATAAACAATCTCAGGCATATAGAACATATATTCCTATCACATGTGTATTATAGAATATATATATCCATTTTATATATTACATGTTTATAATATACAACTTATATTACATTTTTATTCGACACTTTCCCATGCATATATGCTTAGGACTCATTCCAGCAATCACAAAGTTTTGCTCACACTCACTTAGCTGAGCAAGTGGCTTTTGTTCATTTGTTTGGGGAAGGATTGTTTTGTTTTCTTCTGGCAGCAATTGCCTGCAAAGCCCAGGCTTGTGCTCTGTCTCCTCCCATGGCCTTTCTCAACAAGAGAGAAAGTCATCCTGACAGTCTGATGCACAGCCGGGCCAGGGAAGACCTGGCTCCTTCATGAATAAATTAGAGATGAAAGTTTAACAGATCCCCTTGCATGTTTATGGAGGAATCTTTTCCTAATTTACCTAAATGCTATGAGTAGAAGGAAAGGAAATAGAAGAGGCTAAGGTGAAAAGGTTAAAATCCCTGTTTAAATATAAGGGTTTTTTTTTTCTTTTTCTTTTTCTCTTTCTCCTCCACATACCACAACCCATGGGTGTTGCAGTGGAACTATTGATTTCTCCGTCAAATATTTAAAGGAGAAGCCAAAGGCAGAAAGAGTTCTTTCTTCCCCCACCCCTACTATAAGAGACTCATGTGGTGTGTGTGTGTGTGTGTGTGTGTGTGTGTGTGTGTGTGTGTGTGTGTGTGTGTGTATTTGTGTGTGTGTGTGTGATTTACCATCCATCTATCTATCTGTCTGAACAATATTTGTTTAAGGTCTTTCCTTCCTCGATGGTTCTCAAATTCCATGGAAATGGCATTTTTCTTCAAGTACTTCAAGGCTATGCTCCAGTAAGTGACCTATTACTCTATGTTCTCCATGAGTGCATTTCTTAGTGCCAGGCAAGCATGCCATGAGATGTGAGGGGTGGTCAAAATATTAGGTTTTTCATACAGGATTTGACAGCTTGGAAAATGGTTTTGGAATCCTGCCTGTGGCCGAGTGTATTACCTGATGCTTCAGAAGCCCAAGATGAATTTGCATGACCCTATCCCGTAAGACATCCATCCCCCTGTGCAAAAAAATAGGGAATTGGCAAGTAGAATCACTTTGCCCATGTGCTGAGGCTTTGGGTTCCAGAGGTCTTTGACTTCTCTGCTCTGGTAAACTCACCAGCAATTGCAGCAAGAACTGTCCCTATATGCAAGTTGCTTGCTCTGGGGACACTAGGCAGGGGGGCCTCACTGTGTCTTCTTCCTCCTCCTTGCCTTTGGCCATTAGGGAAGTTGTTGAATGCCACGTTCTGATGATATTGGGGCTGAAGCAGAAAGCTGGTGTGAAGAGTCTAAGAATTCGTGAAGGAAGTTACGTCGTCCACTCCATTGTTCTTATCTAGTTAAACTTTTATTGTTGTTGTTGTTTTTCATGGTAATTTTATTCAGCCATAAAAGAACAAAGAGAAAGAAAAAAGAAAGAAAAATCAAAATGATTCTGTGCATTTTTTTATTTTATTTTACTGTTTCCTTTAAATTTGAGCAAAATACCCAAAAGGATGTAAGTATGTTTTCCTTGAAAGAGAGGCCACCGTGATAGCAGATTTTTCTTACTCGTAACAAGGAAAATTCACAAACTTACTTTGCGGCCCACACAATACTCACCTTATTAACACGCATTTTAATTCTTCTTGAATTTCCCATAATCATTGTATGGGCTCTTCTGGTCAACTTTTGAGAAGTTTTCACTATTTTTACACCTGTGTGCCATTCCTTATTTTAGGAACCACTCAAGTTGAATGTTAAAGAAAGTGGCCAGTGGGACAGGAGATGTCCATTTTCTTTCATTTAATTGTGCTTTGTGTGCTTGTTTGTTTTTATTAGAATGCATGGTTGCAGAGACACCTACAACCCACCATTTGAAAATCCAATAGCACTTAGCACTTGGGTGTACTAGAGGCCATTCCTTTTTTTTATTATTAAAAAAGTATTTTTCCAAATAATTAATTTTGATCCTGATCCCCCCAACTCCTCACCACCTCTCTACCCACCCAACTTTCTCCCTCCGCCTCCCTCCTTCCCTCCCTCTCTCTTCTAAAGAGGAGAAAAGCAAGATTTTTTTTCCAAAACTTCTACAGACAAGCTATGAATATTTTTGGAATGCTAAAACGCCTTTATTTCCTGTTTTGGGATTTTTCTCCCCCTTCAAACTGATTTTCTCTCTTTTCCTCTCAGCGTTTGTCATGAGAGAAGTGTGTGATTTCATGAACCCTTTTTTTCAGCTTGCAACTTCCTCTAAACAAAAGGACAATAAATAAACGAGGAGATAAGTCAGCCTCTCTGCCTGCCCATCCCCTTCCTCGGACTGGGGCCGCCAGAACACTGCAGTTCTTCAAACATTGTCCTGAATTAGTTTCTGTGCGAGCTTACTGAGGCCGGAGCGTGGGTGATAATAGACACCAAACAGGAGGCCCACCGACACGTGTGGATATTGATACATATTTTTTCCAGCACTTTTGGCAAACCTGTCTTGCTGACTACACTGACGAAGGTTGCGGGTAATTGTCTATGCAGTTCTGTGGAAGATAAATGACCGCCTTCCCAAGGACACTTGGCCAGGCCTTAATCCTGAGTGTGAGTGTGTATGTGTGTGCCCGCACGTGTGCGTGTGTGTGTGACTGTTTTCTGAAGGTCTGACAAGGCATCTTGATCATTTCCTGGTTTTGAGGCCGACCCTCGGCCATGCACACAGCCCCCCTCTCCGAAACATTATTATTCTGTCGTGAGGCCTTCTTTGGCCAGGATGTTGCTTCATTTCCACCTTTTGTCTCGGCCTGAATGTGAATGATGCTCTTTCAGCAATATCCAGCCGCTTAAACTCCCTGCTGTTGCCTTACATAAATATACAACACCCGTCTCGCCCTATAACTCACTTCAGGCCTGGAAAAATAGTGACTTCCTTTATTGGTCCGATTCTCTGGCAATTCCCAACAGCTGTATGTTCGCACCTCAGAGGATCCTTATCTTCGGCTTTCCATTTGTCTCAGCACTATTCCCGGGGATTGCCAATAAAAATGATTCCCATTTTTATAACCCCTGAGAACACGGGAGCCAGCTTTCCAGAAAAACCATGTCCTTTCGCCACCCCCCAAATAACAAACAAACCAAACCTCGGGACTACTTAAGAAAAAGGCGCGTTTTGTCTTCAAGAGAGATGACCGGAGGAGCCCAGCACATGCGGGACTTAGTAAAACGTGGAGTGTGGTCCCTAAACACATTAATTACGGTCAAGAAAATCCATGTTGATTTCCCTCCACATGAGAATAAACTGGAAGCTACAGCATGTGATTGTTAAATTAACACGTGTTTAGAGATATATTCAGTACCCATCTACAGAGGAGGCTTATGTCTACACAGGATGTCACACATTCTTCCCCTCTAGTCTTTATCAGTTCATTTAATCATTTTTTTCTGTACATCTGAGTTCAGGGGAGTGTAAAACATGTTTTTGGGACCTATTGACTTTACTCTATAGGAAATATAGAAAAGAAAGAAATGTGTTTTTGAAATTGAAATTACTGTTCATTTTAAGGTAGTCTCATCAATAAAGAGTCTTTATTTAATTAGAGACAACGGGACTGAGCTTGGGCTCTGCAACTTACTGACGTAGGGTCTGGGGTAAGTAACATCATCATAAGCTAAGCCTCAGTCAGCCACATCTGCGAAACAGAAACTAAACCCCTTCCTTTCATATTCATTGAAAATTAGAAATGAAACATTCACTAAAAAGTGAAAGGCGCCAAGGCTCTTTACAGATGGGAATCCCATGGTATTTCTTTTCTCCTTCATGATAGAGTTAGGATCCTGATGGACAAGTCTGGAGGAAGAATGTTCAGAAGGGGTAGATGTGTGAGAATTACAGAGTGCTACAAGACTATGCACAAGACGAAGGAGCAAGGACATGAACCACGTCCATACCAAACTGCATCTTCAAAAGATCCAACAGAAAGAAGGGGACACAATGACAAACGCCAGTCAGTGCATCCCTCGGCTTTCTGGTTCTGCAGTTCTCCATGGGAAGAAAGAGGCCTGAGGATGATTGGACATGTGAGCAAGAGGGCTTGCTTGGGACCTTACTGACAATGCTTGGCATCTCGCACAAAAACTCTGAATGTGAGCTGTTTGCCTAAAATCTCCTCCTCCTACCTGACTTTGCTCCAAAGCATGGATGATAATCTTGCGATTCACTTCAGCTATGCTCCACACGTTAAGCCTGCCCTCCAAAGCAACTTTCCAAACAAACAAAACCATGCATTTAGCCTGGGTGCAGACAAAAGGGTACAGACTCTTCATTCTAAGCTCTCTCGGCTTGCATGTGTGTAAACAGACTGACTTTATACCAGGTCTTCTCTACTCTTTCAAATGGGAGCCAAATCTCCCAAACTGTCCCTCTGAACGAGAGGTAATGTCATTTTCCAGGAAACATCATTAATGGCAGCCCAGAGTATTGCACTCTGTCACTGCTTCCAGCAGCTGTGGAAAGAACTTAACATTTTCTCAGGGTCAAATGTTCCCTTCTCAGTGGGGAAATTTTTCTGCTCTAAATGAAATGTTACGAAATACATTTTTCCCCCACCAAGCTTTGCACGGAGAGCTGTTTTATTTATCTGACTGTTGTGAGTGCTGTAAAAACATGCTGTTTCACATAGTAACATAAGCTCTTCGTAAAAGTGTGCCCTGAGTATTTGCAATTGTTATCAGGCCCAGATGTATCCTCATGTCAGCCTGAAGCTTCCCTAGTTGGCTCCGATACACAGAATATAATTATCTCAAAGGCCTTCATGCTTAGTGTGCAGAAGCATCATGTGACTGAGTATAACCACTGGCCCTCTCTCTCCTGTCTACCCACTGTCCCCAAAGAACTAGTGACAAAGAGTAAGACCTACTGTTTATGGATTTCAAAGCTATTCTGAATAGAGCAGCCCTATGTTTTGATAGAGTTTTGAATGAGAGAGAGCCAGTCACTGAGTTGAGGAAAAAAGAGAGTACAAAACCTAGGACTGAAAAATGGATGAGTTAAGAGGCCCTCTGAGAGAGGCTGTGATCCTCAGCTATCTTTTAAATCTGATGGTGGAATGCTGGCCTCTGATGAGTTGTTTTCTTCTTTCTTTCAGACTCACAACTTTCCAAACTAAGTCCACAAGAAATCAAATTCACAATAGACAACATTTCTAAATCCGTGGTTTGCTCCGGAGACTAAATTCTTAGGCATTGTGAGGAAACAGAACCCAGACATAAGGTGACCAAGGAAAGATGTGGGCTCAGCTGACCTGACTTGAGAACACTGATCAGTATTTGAAGATGGGAAAAGGGTTGAAAAGAAACAAAACAAGGAACAGCACACCCGGGTGAAGGCAACATAATTCCTTCCTGACCCTTGCTGGGAATCAGTTTATGCCCTGAAGCATGAAATTTGATTGTAATTATTTTAGCTTGCTTGGCTACATATGTTATTGATGATCTTTCCTCAAAAGCAGCAGCCTTCTAGAAATCTTGCCACAGTACTTGACTCAAGAGCCTGTAAGGTATACGTAATAGAAAATAAACTGTGTGGGCTATCTCTATCGATTGCCTCATGGAAACTCGCTCATCTTAAAGTGTGGGTCTCCAACTTTCTACACCACTGGGATAGAAAATCAGGTCACACTTTCAAAAATCTAAATACTATACAAGCACTTGGTTTACCACTCTGGGATTCCACGGTTACTGGAATTCTCAAGTAGACATTTTAGCCCATTGATTATAAATATGAAACCTGGTTACTTTGCATATGTAAGAGATGAGGTCAGACAAAGACTCAAATCATATAAATGATGGACATGCATCTGGAAGAGTACATGTGGGGATGAAGGCCCTAACCTGTCATCTATGTTTGTCTTAGTTAAAAAAAAAGAGCAATTCTCCATTTTTCCTTCCTGCTGTACAAGTGAGTAGAAATACCAAGTATGTCCATTAATGATAAATCAGTCAAATAATCCGAGTAAGACAAGGTAATAATTTCCTAGGGCACTCACTTTCTGAATTGCAAAATGAAGGCGTGTAGTATGTATGATCTTGTGTGTATAAAGCATTACCTTTAGTTATGTCTTAATATGAAAGAGTTTTCCTGGGAGACAAAGAACATTCCTTTTCATAATTCCAGAAACCCATGGAACTATGTCTCTGCTTTATGCCATTTGGACCTTTGGAAGTTTTTCACTCCCATTGAATGGAATCCTAATTGATCCTGAAATCAACCTTAATAATATTATGGATCTCCCTCTAGTTGCTCTGACAAAAGAGTTTAACCCAGAAGTTCTGGTAGCTTTGGGCATATTTCCATATTTTCCTTTCTATTTGCTCTCTCAC